GTTACTCATTGAGATAGAAAATAGGAGAGTATGATAAGATCTGTAACAGTGAGGAGATATAAATTTAGCTTGTATATATCAAGTTTCAGGTGCCTATGGATATCCTTGGGGTGGTGTCTACTGAACAGTCCATGGTATTGTCATGGAGCTCAGAAGAGAGGTCTCATATGGAGACATGGTTTTGTGAATCAGCAGCACATTGGTGGCAATTAAAACCATGGGTACAGTTACAGTCTGTTAGGAAGAGTGAATCAAGTTGAAATTCTGGGATGCACCAACACTTAAAGGATGGACAAAGGAAGAGAAATGCCTGAATGTACAATGAAAGGAAAGGAAGAGTAGAGACACTGAAGCTGAGGAAGTAAGGATTTATGAGAAAGAAACAATGCCAAGAGGTCAAATATGACAAAAATTGGAATTTTTGTGTAAATTGATGTTCAATCAGTTTAGACAAATGGACATCACCAAAGACCTCAGGGAACATACATGTAAAAATTGCTTGGTGAAGGTGGCACAGAGGAAGAGGTTCTAAGCAAGTTGAGAGAAAGTCACAACTGAATTGAGTCTTGAAAAGCCAGAGTGGAAAACACTAAAGCAGAATAAATTCCAGGCACATGAAAAATTGAATGTCACTAATTAAATCTATGAGAGGCAAGAGTCATCATTCCTGTTCACTTCATAGGACTGACTTGAGGAGGAACTGAGTTTCTATAAATGAGAACAGTACACAGAACACTAGATAATAGCACTACCTGATATTATCTTCTTCTGTCCAGCAGCAGCAGGCCTCAGATCCAGCTTTCTTTTGCAAGTGGCCCTCTGGAAATGTGGCCCCAAATCCTGCCCTGCTCTGATATCAGGCCATTGAACCAGCTCCCACAACCACTCTGGACAGATGAGGGGCAGGGGTGTGTTTCCAGCATTCCCATGCTCTGCGTCAGGTCCAGGGAGTTTACACAGATGCTTCTAGGCTTAGCCCCTAACTCCTCACATCGTGTAAGGAGAAATGTCCAGGTCCACTGGGAAAAATGGACCTGGCTATTGTCTGCAGTCACTAATCGAACGTAGCTTGAGTCAGAGGCCCTCTGAGCTGGTGTTTCACACCTTAAACTCTGCACATTGCTAATATTCAAGGGACAGAAGAAGAGCACTGGGCCAGGAATCAGACTCCTGGGTTGAGGTTCCAGCTGTGCCATTTACTAGTGAGTGACCAGAGGGTAGATGTGTGTTCTGTTATTGAGCATTCCATGAATGCCAATTAGTTTGTTATTCAGTACTTCTGTGCCATTACAGAATCTTTCTCTCCTTGTTTTACTGATTTCTAAGAGAGGAGTGTTGGCATCTCTTACAATGATTGGGGAAATTTTCTATTTCTCCTTTTAATTGTATCAAATTTTTGCTTTATGCATTCCAAAGCTCTCTTGTCAGGTGCATGAAAATTTAGGACTGCTATGTGTTCTTGATAAACTGACTTCTTCATCATGACACAATGTCCTTTCTCATTTCTGCTAATGGCCCTTGTCCTGAAGTCAGCTATGTCCAATATTAATAAAGAAACTCCAGTTTTCTTTTGATTAGTGCTTATATGAGTTTAATTCTTTTACTTTTAGCCAATTATGTTTTAAGTGGGTTTATTTTAGATGCCTTGCTTTTTTTAAAAAAATCCAATCTAACAATTACTGCCTTTAATTGGAGTGTTTTCCTCATTCTCCTATACTGCTATAATTGATATAATTTGGTTTAAATTCACCATTTTGCCAATTATTTTCTATTTGTCTCAACGTTCTCTTTCCTTTATTGCCTCTTTTTCTGCCTCCTGTTCCACTTGACCTTAGCCAAAAGGCTGAGAAGCAATTCTGCATACTTTTTTTATTAAGGATATTTATGACTGCATTTTATCTCCAATATTAGTTGCACCTTTTTTTTTAGTGGTTGTGCTAAGGTTTACAATGTACACCTTTAGTTCATCACAGTCTCCCTCAAATAATGACATTCCACTTCATGTATAAAGTCAGATTCTTATACCATATACTGTTATTTTTTCATTGCTATCCTCTGTCATGCATTGGGTCATAGATTTTACTTCTACCTATTATACAATACATTGTTACAATTTTTGCTTCAGTCAGTCACTTAGTTTCATCTGAGAGATTAAAAATAGGAAGTATTTTATATTTCCAAGGATCTTCATTTCTTGTGCAGATCCAAACTTCCATCTTGTGTCATACATATGCCTTCTACTGAAGAACTTCCTGTGACATTTCTCACAGTGCAGTTCTGCTGACAGAAGAGCTCAGCTGTTTTTTTTTTTTTTCTGAAAAAGTCTTCTTACCTTCATTTTTTAAAGATATTTTTGTTGTGTATGGATTCTGAACTACCAAGGTTTGGGGTTTTGTTTTTGTTTTTCTGTTTTACATCACTTTAAAGATGAAGCTCTATTGTCTTCTGGCTTGCATATTTTTGATGAGCTGTCTGCTGTCATTCTTCACTGCTCTGTAATGTTTCTTTTTTCTATGGCTACCATCAAGATACCTTTTCCTTGAAGTTTTCACCATATTGATCATAATTCATCTCAGTATGTTTTTCATCTGTTTATTCTGCCTAGGGTTCTCTGAGCTTCTTGGATCTGTGGTTTTATTGTTTTATTAATTTTGGAGCATTCCCAGTTTTCACTTCTTCAAAAATTTTTTTGAAACCTGTTTTTTCTCACTTTTCCTTCTCTAACTTCAATTACACACGTTAGACCATTGGTAATGTCCCACATATCTTGAATGTTTTCTTTGTGTAGTTCACTCTTTTCTCCTCCTAGTGTTTTACTGGATGATTTTTGTAGACCTATCTTGGAGCGCATTGATTTTTTCCTTAGCTGTAGTCTTCTGCTGATAAGCCAATAAAATAAATTATTCACTTCTGATATCATGCATTTTCATTTGATCTCTTTAAATTGATTAATTATTGTTTTTAGAGCAGTGTTAAGTTTGCAGAAAAACTACACTGAAAGTACAGAGTTCTAATATATGTCTTTTCCCTCTTCTTACACATAGTTTCCCCTATTATTAACATCTTCCACTAGTATGGTAAGTTTCCCATAATTGATGTAGCAATATTGATTCATTATTGTTACCTAAGGTTCACAGTTGGAGTGAATATGTGTATGTGTGTTAGCAGAGAAGTGTTGACTTAGTGGCTCCCTCCTCCTGCTATAAACTTTGATGTCTGATTGCAAGGGTGAAAAGGTATTTACAACTGTTAATAGGATGATCACACCCTGCTGCTCACCAGATATTTCCTGCTTTAATTCACTTAAAATCAAGTTGTAAGCATTTACATTATCAAATATTCTTATAAAATACATTTTCAATGGCTACATAGTATATCATTATGTGGCCATATCATAATATATTTAAAGGCCTCACTATTATACAAGTGTTTTCAATTATTTCCAATTTTTCCTTATCATAAGTAACACAATAAAAACCATCATGTTACTTTTCCCAAGCTTCTGATATCCTATTTCCAAAATTGTCCTAACAGTGGAATTATTGGATTGAAGGGAATGAAAATATTTAATGTTCTTGATACATAAAGCTAAATCATTTTGCAAAAAATCAATTTAGTTTCCCACTAGTAATCTATAAAAGTCCATTTTTCAGTGTTTTCTTGGTTGCCTCTGACACTTCTGTTTAAAAACTCTTTGGCAATTTCTAAGGTGCAAAACTGATATTGATATTTTAATTTAAATTTTTTGATGCCTACTGTGGTAGGATTTTCCTATATACTTATTAATGATTTGGATTTCTTTTTTGGTTAACTGTATATATCTGTTGCCAATTTTCTGAAGTCCTTTTTTCCTTACCAATTCAAAAGAGCTTTTTCTATGTTAATGATGTTAATGATGTGCCTATAAGTATGTTACAATTATATGCCCTGTTTTGTCACCCACCTTTTTCCTTTATTATTTATGCAATACTGTGGCTCCTGGGTATGTGGGTAGGGTAGTACTTTCCAGAACTTTGGGAACTCATACCCTTGGCATGGACCCTGGCTTGTCACAGAGTTTGTAGAGATTCTATCAGGAATAATCAGAGTTTGGTGGAGGAAGGCCCTTCTATTAATAAGCAAGAGAAAATAGAGCTAAACCTTTCCATTGAGTTTTTACCTCTCTCCAGACTCCTTAAGTTATGCATTTGGGGATAACAATATGCCCACTCTTCCCCTTCTGATTTTCCTCATTTTTATCATCCTTAGGTGGACAAGGTCACTTTTCCTTGAAATCACCCAGAACAAGCTATAGTGTTACAAGATGGACTTTATTAAAAACAAGGGAAAAAGGAAAATCAAGAAGCATAAAATATTTTTAAAAGCACAGAAACAAAACATTGTTACAAAACAGCCTTCCCCCAAGATAATTTCAATCAATCTCAGGTGCTCTGACTGGCACAGTTTGTAGGTGGGTAGATACAGGCTCTTTTCCTCCTTCTCAAGTTTCTTTCTCACTCTAAGGTTCTCTGCTTTTCAGTTTTTGGGTTTCTACTTCTTCCACTTTCTCCTTTACTCTCTAGAGCTCCAGTCGCTTCCACAGCCCAGGAGGATCATGTGTGATGACTGATTAGTGGTTCATCCCTGAGTAATAAATTTAAAAAATTAAAACTAACATTTGTTGAAAGGTTACTGTATGCCAGACTCTGTACTAAGCATATATTTATATACTGTCTCATTTAATCATTATGGCTTCCCTGTAAGAAAGAATTACAAACCTATAGTAGTTAAATGACTTGCAAAAATTCACATATTTACTAAGTGGGAAAATTGAGCCTGTCATCCGAGTCTGTCTGGCACTAAAGTCCAAGCACTGCACTCTACCTTCACAATTATCTCTGTCTCAAACAGCATCACTGTAGATACTACAGATGTCTGAGCACCCTTTTCCTCTCCCACCTGGGCAAGGGTGAAGAGTTACTATATCTTTATAGAGTCCAGCTCTTCTAGGTCCAGGGAAGAGTCCTCAGAGATTTGTTGATTGCAAGTGTTGCCCTGTTCAGCTCCCCAGGTCTTTAGCTTTAAAATCTTACTCTGGGGCCTTGCTCCATCCCATCAATTTGTAAAAGGCCTTTTTTACATCCTTGTTCCTCAGACTGTAGATGACGGGGTTGAGGAAGGCTGTGGCAACATTATAGAAAAGGGAAATTCTCTTGCCGCTGTTTGACAAAGAGCCAGAGCCAGGGCTCATGTACATGATGATGCATGGAATGGCAAACATGGTGACCACCGTGATGTGGGAGGCACAGGTGGAAAAGGCCTTGATCCGCCCCTGGACTGAGCGGATCTTCATGATGGTGGCAAAGATGTTGGCATAGACAAGGACAACCAGGGAGAGTGGGACCACGATGACATTGAAGCCTATGATGAAGTCCACTAAGTCATTGAGGGAAGTGTCTGCACAGGCCAGCTTCAGAACTGCAGGGACCTCGCAGAAGTAGTGGTCAATTTCACTGGGACCACAATAGGGCAGGCGCATGGCAAAGAAAGTATCACACAGGCTTCCCAGCATACCATAGGCTGCACAGATGCCCACCATGAGGAGACACACCCAGCGGCTCATGATGACCTTGTACCTGAGAGGGTGGCAGATGGCCACGTACCTGTCCACGGACATGATGGAGAAAAGCCAGGACTCGGTGATCCCAAAGAGAAGGTAGATGTACATCTGGGCCACACATCTAGCAAAAGAGATGGCCCTCTTCTTGCGGAGAATATGCGCGAGCATCTGGGGCACGGTGGTGGTGGTGAAGCATATGTCCAGCATGGAGAGGACGCTGATGAAGAAGTACATGGGCGTGTGCAGATGCGAGTCCTGGAGGATGAGGGTGATCAGGAGGCTGTTGCTCACGAGGATCAGCAGGTAAAAGAGCAGAAAGAAGGTGAAGAGCAGAGGATTGGTCCTGGGGCTGGGGGTGAAGCCCAGCAGGATGAACTCTGTCACGGTGGACTGGTTGAGTTCCTGCATTGTGATCTGCCTGTTTAAAGATGTTTTAGGATATGTAATTCACTGAGTGTCTGTGCCAAGGGTGTGCAAGGAATTTTCATACTCATTGTTTCATTTACATTTCCTAACAGTATCAGGAAGCTTTGGATTGGCAGGTGGAGGCACCAAAAGACGAGTCCCGGTCGCAGTTTGAGTGATGCTGGGATTTGGCTCAGGATTTGGTTGAGGGTCATGCTGGTGAAAATGGGCCATGGTGGTGAAAATGGGGAGAGCAGGTCAGGGCAGCACTGAGACTGTGCTCCAGTCTGGCCCGCAGATCTCTCTTTCCTTTTCCTGACACGGCCTTGTTTTCTCTCTACTATTTACCCCATATTCTGCTTTCTCTTGGGACTTAGAGGTTGCTAAGGCTTATGTGAATTAAGATTAGGATCAGGATTGGGACTATTACATTCATTATTTAGGTGAAGTTTTCTATCACTGTTAGGATTAGGGGTAAAGATAACATTGGGCATTAAAGTCAGTGCTATGTAGAATAAAGCTTAGAGTTAATGTTCAAGATTTATATTTTGCATTTCAAGAGTGTTCATGTAAGAATGAATGGCATTTATTCAACAATTTTTATCAAAATGATCACTATAACATTGTCTCCTCAATTATGAAGATTATATTTCTGAAATTTTGGGGCAGGATATTTTGTTGTCAAAGAAAGATCTTGAATAAGCTAAGAAGTATAGTCCTATAAGCAATTTTTAGAATTACTAAAATAAAAATAACCCCAGTGTACCATACAAAGAAAAGTCTTAAATTAATAATGCATGAATTATATGATTAATTTTCATTGTCATACCTTCTTAAGTAGAAACACGCAAAGGCTCTCTCCTTCACACTGTTGATATGGTGCCAATAAGTTGGTTTTGCCTTGTTGGAGACAATGAACATACTGAGATTTTAAAATTTTCCTCATAGCTATATGTACCTTTCACTATTCATTGTTTTTCTGGTTTTATGACTCAGAGAAATTTACATTCTGCTTCTAACATATTGAGAATTCCAGAGATTGTGGGAAACTATGCAAAAGTAAATTCACAAACTATAGGTTTTGTGAAAAAACAATTTGTTGGGAAAGGTTTACAATGTACAGCTAATCACGTGCACTCTGCTGGGGGTAGTATCTTGGTTACCTTCTTACCCATTTCTGATGCGTATTCACTTGGGTGCCCTGGCTGCATAGATATCTTTCAACTTTGTATTTTGTGCACTATCACAGAAGCATTTAATATTACATCTTCAGAAATTTCTTTGACCCTAACAAATATCTGTCACAAACAAAGAGCCAATATCATGCTTACTGCTAAAACTATAGAGCAAAGGTCACTTAATGGGACCAAATAGAATCCACAGACATATTTTTCTTGGATTGTATAGTTTTTAAAAGTTGAATTAACTTGTAATATTTTGAGAAATTGAGCTTACACATAAAATAACTCCGGCTACTTGATCACAAACTGGATTTGGCCATTATGGGCCCATGTTCCTATTACTGGCAACAGCCAGGAGGTGAATGTGTGATTCCCTTACAGATGGAATGTGAACTCCTCCGTTCAAAATATTCTTTGTTATTCCCTATTATTTTTCCTAGACTAGTTTTATGCATTTACATTGCGTGCTTGGCCCCTAGGGCATTTGAATTTATGATCCCTACTCTAGTGGTGTACTATTTACAATATTACATGCTACTATAACCACTGTTATACAATATTATTCAGAAAATTTTAGCCAAAGAAATTAAGACAAAAAATATTTAAAATAAAATTTTAAAGACCAGACAATTATCATGATTTGCAAATGTCATAATGGATTTATCTAGAAATCTAAGACAATCAACGAATAAGGTTTTAGAGCCAATAAAAGAGTTTAGTAAGGTGGCTTAATATAAAAGAGTCTAAGAACAATATGCAAAGTAAGATCCCATGTGTATAGAACTCTGTATGCACACAAACTTGTGTAATATGTTTTATATCATACTTTGAATGCATAGCAAATGGGTGGAAGTATACATGCAGTACTGTTAGCACTCACTACTGTTGAGGGGTTTGCAATGAAGGTGGGTGGGTAGATAAGCACAAATGAGCTTCCTTTGTTTTTACATTTCTTCCCTGTTTATATGTTTCTACCATGGGTATGTATTTTTTCATATAATTAAAAAACTAATAAATATGAAGATGAAACTGTATACACCAGCCAAAAAGTTAGAAGCATGTTGGAAAGGGACTTACAAAAGCAGCAAATACTCCAAAATACAATAATAACTAGGAATAAATCTAACAAGAACTATTCAGGACCTATGTGAGAAAAATAAAAACAAAACAAATAGGAATTAAATAGAACTTTACCAAGAAAGATAAAGGAAGCTTTGATCAAGTTCAAAGATATACCATGTTTCTGGGTAGAAAGACTAAAATTGAAAAAAAAGCATTTATCTCCAAACTTAATTATATATTTAATGCAAATCCCATTAAATCAATGGGATGTTTTTGTGGGACCTTGATAATGTGGTTCAAAGGCTTATGAAAGAATAACGGGGTGAGTTTAGCCAAGGAAATATTTAAGAAAAAAAAGAATAAAGAAGTAGAATAGTATTGTCAGATTTAGCAAATAAAAATAAATGTGAATTCAAATTTAACTGGCATCTGTGTCTTATCTCGTAAGCCTAAGTGGAAGACAGCCTTCTAAAGGTTTAAACATATTAATATTATAACACTAAAAAATACAAACTTAGCGTGAGCTCAGAGCTAGACAGACTGATGGGACAGAATAGAAGACCCAGAAATAGACCTGCCTATATGATGAAGGACAAGGAGGAGTTAGTTATTCAACAAATGTTGCTCAATTAATGAATGATTTGAGTTATTTTGTGCTGTGTATCAAGATACATTCTAAATATTTTGAAAGTTTATATATAAAAAATGAAACTATCAAGTAACCTAGGAGAAAATATAGGTGAATGTTTATTTTATGGTGGGACACAGACCTCTTAAGCATAAGCTACATATATCCAGGTCCTTCTGCCTCCGGGTGAAAATCCTTGTCCCTTTCATATGCAAATGAGGCAACATAGGTTGTCATCTGATCTGCTGTAAGAATCTAATACTTTCCCCAATATTTTTGAGGGTTCTTTGTGGTTACTTTGCTCTAAATATTCTTGCTGTCATTGAAGTCCTGATCCATACTTGCTGCCTTCCTTTGTGTGGCTACTGACCTGTTCGATAGTGTCTTCCTATTCTCTTTCTCCTTTGTGGCCCCAAACCTCACTGACACCAGGCTGTCACTTGTGTAAGTTTTCCCAAGGTGTGGGTAAAATGGAAATGATTTATGAAGCAGCACAGAACAGAAAACCATATACACTTGAATATTTAATATTATAAAGTCTCTAAGCTATCTCTGTAGCAGAGTGGGATTTAGGTTTTTTTTTTTCTGGCATTTTCCTTTTTTATTCCCAGTCAGCTCCCAGGTTACTGGGGTCTGATCTCCTTCCTGGGATTCCTCCCATTTTCTCTAGTCTTCCTTACTCTCTGCCACCTGGGCAGCCAGCTACAAACCCCTATTCCTTTATCTCAGTGTTCTCAGATTTCACCTTGCATAGGAATCACCTGGACAGCTTGTTAAACTACTGCAGAGTTTCTGATTGGGTAAGTCTGTGAGCCCAAGAATCTGCATTTCTAACAAGTTCCCAAGTGATGTTGATGCCCTGGTCTGGGATCACATTTTGAGAACCACTGATCTACTGTGGTTAACTGTGCACAGAATGTTAGCTCTTTTCCTCTCAGTTTCTCTGTGTCCATATTATGCCCAAGTTGCCCTCTTTTCCCCTGCCTAAAAGTCAATATTTTCTTCATTCTTCATAAGCATAAAAACAAAGTAAGATACAGTAAATGAAAAGAAGAACATTTTCTCTACGTAAAGAAAAAATTAATGTTTTTGGCATCTGTGGAAGACAAGTGATTAATGTCATTAGACTATAAGCTCTCTAAAATGCTAAGAAAAACTTGTAACTGAGAATGAGATATGAATAATTGGATTTAACAAAGGAGATTCAAATGGCCAATGAACACACAAAAAAGTTTCAGATTATTAATAATGAAAAATTGAAGCAAAAACATCAATGAAATAATAGCTTTTAACAGATAAAATTGGCAAAATTCTTTTAAAATACTAATGCCAGGGGTTTGCAGTAAAACAGGAATTCTCATATTTTACTGTGGGAAATAAATTGCTATAATTTTTCTGAAGGAAAAGTTGGCACTGTTAAGAACTTTGGATAGGGGGAAGCAATCTGAGATGTGATGAGAGATTTCATCAAGGATATTCATTGGAGTATTATTTATCAGAGGGAAAATGGGAAAGAATCTAAATGTCCTCCTACAATAGGGGATTGGCTAAATAAATTATGGTATATTGACAGGATTGAATACTTATAGCATCTATAGTTATATTTTGGAGACTATCTGATGCTGTAGTGAAATGCTTCAATAGATTGTTAAGTTAAAAAAATTAGAAAATAAAAACCAGATATATAGCTCAATCCTAATAGAATATTTATATTCCTAGACAAAAAATTAGAAAAGAATATGTCCAATTGTTGACAATGGTCATTTCTGATTGATAGAAATTTATAGAACAATATATATATTGTTCATTAAATTTCTCTGAACTTTCTGAATTTTTCACAATAAACATGAGCTACTTCTACAATAAGGAGCACAGTTCCAGTTATACAGGAACTTAGTTTGCTTATGCACAGTAACTAGGTAAAGGGTGGGTGTGAGAGGGAAGCTTAGAGCCGGAGCACACAGCGGACCCTGGGTGGGGGGCTTCTCTGGGCCCTGTCTGCCCCCACCCAGCTGCCCTTGAGCGGTTCCGCGTGCGTGCATTTACTGCTTCATGTGACGGAGTTTTGGTGAGGAGATTATCCGGGAGGAAACAGACGGAGGCTGAAAGCCTACGCTGACTGCGTGCATGTAGACAAGTTAGGTGGGGCGGCAGACTGGTGACCCAAGTTAGCACGACTCAACCCAGGAGGACTAGAGCAGCTCACGGAGGGAAAGACAGTGATCGTAAAGAGAGGACAGAGATAGACTCAGATTCTGGATTCCCCAGGCTGCTAGAGCTCTAGGGCTAGAAAACCGAGGAAACACGGGCCCGCGCTCAGGCCGCTGTGGCACTATGCAGTGAGTTGAGGTGGAGGGACCCTGGACTTAGTGTCAACTCAGCATGGGCTCTGGGAGCGGCTTTGCCGATTTTGCTGTGTGACCCAGGCACATCACTTCACCTCTCTGAGCCTCGGCAGCCTCACCTGCAATGTGGGGACTCTGCAGCGTG